TCGGAAGAGATTAGGTCACCCAAGAGATCGGCACCATGGGCGGAGACGGAGCCACGGCCAACGCGGAGGCGCAGTACACCACCGCCAAGACCTCCGTCTGGTGGGACATCGAGAACTGCCACGTCCCAAAGGGTTCTGATCCCCACGCCATCGCGCAGAACATCAGTTCCGCCCTCGTTCGCATGAACTACTGCGGCCCCGTCTCCGTCTCCGCCTACGGCGACACCACGCGCATCCCAGCGTCTGTACAGCACGCGCTCTCCAGCACCGGAATCTCCCTCAACCACGTCCCCGCCGGTCGGTAACCGTCTCTTCTCTCTTCCTATTTCGCCTTTTTCTGTGGCTCCTGCCTTGGCGATTTACGTTTTCGATTATTCCTATCTACTATTTATCACCACTCGATCTAGTAAAACACTGCGCCTGAACTCTATTACCATATACTCGCTAAGTTAAATCTTCTTGTTATTATCATTCTTATGATCCACGCGCTTTGAACCCAATCTCAACGCTTGCCAATATTGCTCTCTCAGTAGCTTCCAGTTTTTGACGGTTGGAATTACTAGTGCACGTGCTTAGTTGACTATCGTGAGGAATTTCACAAGTTTTTGACGACTTGTTAGTTTCCTCTTCCAAATCTTGTCGATGTGTTAGTTAGGTTGTAAGTTCTGGTCATGGTTGCAGTTTTCGTTCCATTTCTTGTGGGAAATTGCAGACAAATACGACGGATGTGGCTGCTATTGTGGTCGCAGACACCACCAAGAGCGAGAATTGCAGTGGCAGCCACGGTTGCTATTGTAGACATAACCGAAACAATGATTGAGGCAAAAATTGTGCATGGACTGATTTTTGAACCTTGGTTACGAGTTTTCTGGTTTTGGATCAAGGTTATTGTGATTTTTTTAGCTTTGTAGGTGCTGTGAAGCTTGAAACTTCTTTTTTGAAAGAAAAAAAAAAAAAAAAACAAACAAACAAACAAACTGACGTTTTAACATTTGGTTATAGGCGTGAAAGATGCAAGTGATAAGAAGATTCTTGTAGATATGCTGTTCTGGGCAGTGGACAATCCTGCACCTGCTAATTATTTATTAATTTCCGGTGACCGAGACTTTTCGAATGCGCTCCATCAACTTCGGATGAGGAGATATAATATTCTTCTTGCGCAACCTCAGAAAGCATCTGCACCCCTAGTTGCTGCTGCCAAGAGTGTATGGCTTTGGACTACCCTCTTAGCTGGAGGACCTCCTCTGTCTAATGGTGAATCGCAACAACTTGGTAATGGTAACCTTAGCCATGTATCATCTTCTGACTCCTTACAAATACCAGTTACAAGTGCTGTTCTGATACAGCAACAGGTGGATTCCTATTCAGAAGTTCATGTAGGAAATTCAAAATCAAATGGAGGAAGGGGGGTTGATTCGAGATATCAGGGGAAAACAAATTGGAGAAACCCGGGTCAAACAAATGGACCCAGATCCATGAATCCACCACCAGTTGGACCTCAAGATAATCGCAATCGTAATAATATAAACTCTTATCGACCTGGTAACTTTAATCCTAATGTTCCGCATAGTGGATCTGCTACAAATTATGTTCATGGAAATACTACTGATCAGTTATGGAGCAATAACAGTAATCTACAGGGCGGCAATCATCAAATTCCTTATTCACAGCCATTAAGACCAAACAACTTCCCATTGCAACCTCCTTTTGCACCTAGTAATTCTTATACTCCAAATTCCCATACATTTGCAACTTCAATGATGCCACCTAGAACTGGTGGTCCCAATTTCACTACAGGGCCACATACCAATGTGCCAGATATTGGTAATCTGAACATTTCTGGATATCCTAATACTGCTCATAACCCTCCTATTGTTCCACAACGGAGTGGAGAGTTGAAACACAATCCTAGTAGTAATGCACCTCATCTTTTAAGATCAATTGATGAAAAAAATGGACATATGGTACATAACAGTGGCACACAACAATTACACCAAGGTTATCAGCATGGCCCAGATTATCAACATACACCATTAGCAGCAATGGGTAATAATAACTCTCCTGGTAATGGCATGTGGGGTTCTCCAGGATGTCCTAAACCTTCTGAATATGTACAAGGCCTAATAGGGGTTGTTTTACTTGCCTTGAACTCGCTAAAAAATGCAAAGATGATGCCAACTGAGGCAAATATAACTGATTGCATCCGGTATGGAGATCCCAAGCACCGCAACACTGATGTTAAGAAGGCTCTTGAGAGTGCTATTGAGCAGCAGATGGTGGTGAAACAGAATTTAGGAGCTTTGCCACTTTATGTTGGTAAGAATGATAAACTTTGGAAGTGTGTAAATCCTTTAGGTGGTAATCCTAAGCAGCACTCAAAAGAAACATGGGAAGAAATTGAAAAGTTTTTAACAACTCCTGCTGGAAGATCAGCATTAATGGCTACACAGTGCAAGTAAGCATATTGTGATATGTCTTCCAACTTATTTTATTTTCATTTCTTCAAACTTGTCATAGTAATATGCCTTTATTTTTTTCTCTAGGTATGAAGCAGGTATTGTTATAAAGAATATGTGCTTTAAAGATCTTGCTTTGGGTGATGTCCTTCAAATTTTAAACATGTTAGTTACCCATAAAAAATGGATTGTGCATCATCAGTCTGGTTGGCAACCACTTAACATTACACTTCCTGAGACAAACCCTGGTTCAGGGGTTGTAGCTGGCGCATAACTGGATCCTGATTAAGGTAATGGAAAGGCACCCAGATAAAACTCACTGAAGTTGATGAATATAGTATGAGCCAGTTGAACTAGGAATTTGTTGAATAATCTTCTGTTTCTCGTCTGAATCAAAAGGTAGGTAGTAATGGTGAACTGTAGTACAATAAGCATCTCGAGAGTTTATGGTTATTGTTACAGCCTTCAGTTGGTTTTGAGGGAGAAATGAAGGCAGCATTTGAGTTTTGTTTGAATATACCAAACTGTAGGTTGCTGAGGGTTCCTATTATGGTCTGCTATGCATCACAGTGGATCTATCTTGGAATTAGTAATCCTTCCTGTGTCCTGAGCTTCTACACATTTATCCTCCTAAAGTTTTATATTTTGCTTGGAGGTTGCCTTATTAGACTGAAATCTTGGGACCCATTTATTGATATATTCTAAATAGTGTCCGGGATATATGGCAAGTACGTGTTTTACACTTTTGCTGGAAATTGAAGGACCTTCGAGCTAGTTAAGAAAACCATCCTCGATGCTGTTTGTTTATCACTAGGAAATTGATCTTCCAAATCAAATTCTTCAGGTTAAGTACCTTTTGTTCGTTGGTGGCTGTCTTTGAAATGTTACAGGAAGTTTAAGTACTGGACAGAGAATAGTTAATTTGCACAAAATTGAAGACTACTTCATTCTTAAAATCCTGCATGAAGCCTCATGACTTGTTATCTCAACACAAATACTTGGTATGTTTATGATATTGGAAACTGATTTCACTATGAAAATCACGCTACGGAGTATTCAATGATTCAAAGATGGTGAAACTAAACGGTATTGCATCTCTTGTTGCTGATGGTGCCTGTTGTCATATTTTATTAATCATCTGGAATTAGCTTCTGGATACCTGGCTCAATGCGCAGAATTCGGTAATTCAGTGGGGGAATTAATCTGGTCTGGCCGCTTCTTATTGCCTTGTTAATGTTATCTTGATTTAAATATGCATTGTATCATATAGATTGTTTATTTGTATGCCCTCAGCTTAAGTTTTATTTTTACCTTTGTGGTTGGAAGATAATATCGGTGGATGTGCTTATTACTGGAGCAGGGTTTAATTTGTGTTTAATATGATTAAACTTTCTCAATCTTTGCAATAGTGTGACTCGTTGAGTTATACTGATGCCCACTGGTGTTGGTCAGTGCGCGCCACAGCTGTACATAATCTAGGATTTGGATTTGATGCAGCCAGCAAGTAATGTACTGTCTCGCTTTTAGATTTGATGTGTTTCAAAAGTGCACATCTTGTTAACTGCATTCAGTCCAAAGACCATAAACCCTAGCTATTTAGAGATGTTCCACCTGTACTTGAATTAGATTACAACCTTTATTTAGTTTTGGTTCAATAAATATTATGTATTCAAGGGCATTTGTGGTTTAAAGAAACAGTTTTCTTAACATTTTTGCTCTTAATAATCCGTTTTTAATTATAAGCAATGTATGGTAAATTATCAATATCAAGAAAAGTAATTAAGTTGTTACTTTTAATTAATTTTAAAATATTTTAACTTTATTTCAAAGATATCCGTTGTTATAACTGATTGTTATAATTAATGCTAGTTATTAAAGTACATGAATAAAGTTAACAATTAATTAAGGTATAAAAGAAATTAATCCTTAAGTGATTTTAAAATTAAATGATTGTTATTTATAATTAAAAAAATTAAAAATATTAATTTGTTGTTTATAATTTAGATTGATGGTAGTATATTTGAACTTAAATATGATTGCGGTTTTTAAAAATACATGTTACTTTGATTTACTTCCTAATAAAAATTTTATTTTTAGATTTTAAAAATATGTTACTTTCTTGGATATTTCTATTAGGTTTTTAATGGATGGTAAATAAATCAATTCAAAAATAGTTTGATTCAATGCATGAGTTAAATTCCAGTTGAGTATAATTTAATTGATCAAATGAGTTAAACTTCGATTAAAGATTAAGCTAAATAAATAAATGAACTAAGTTTGTCGTGTATAATTTAATTTATTTGATTCATAAATCGGTTTGACATATAAATATAAAGTTTATATGTTTATTTTTTTTATTTAATTTTAACTTATTAAAATTTTAAATAAAGTTAATAATAAAATACGTTAAAATTTTAGAATTTTATAGTTATAAATTGAGTTATCTATTATTTTATGTAAGGTGAAGTAGTTTTTATTTATATGGATTTTAGTTGTAATTATGTTTCTTTGAAGTTATATATTGTAACCTTGCAAAGTAGATAGAATAACTTATGTTGTCTTTAAAAAAAAGTTAAAACAATCATTTTATCTAAAATTTATTAATAAATTAAAGTTTTGAAATGTGTAAAATTCAAAAAAAATTACTCTTGATTTATGTGATTCAAGCTAACAAATTGAACTAATATGCTAGCAAGTCTAAAACAAGTTAATTGTAAACCCTAAAAAAAGGTTCATGTTCAATTTGAGTTAAGTTATGAACTGAGTTGAGTTGAATTAAATTTGAATTAATTTGACTCATTTTTAGTCTTACTTTAAACTACAAAAATTTGTGATTAAGTTTTTCATCATTTTTTTTTTGTAGTTTAGTCCTTAGACTTGGAAATTCATTTACAATTTATGAAGTTGATTATTTTTAATTAATTCTAAAAAATTAAATTTCACTTTAAAAATACCATTTGCTTTAATAGGTTGTTACAATTAATAGTTATAAGTGAATATATAAGAAATAGAGCTAACAATAAATTAATTCTATAAAAGAAATTTACTTTTAAGTAAATTTTAAAAACTAATGATTGTTGTTTATAATAAAAACTAAAGAAAAGTTCAATTTGTTACTTATAATTAAGACCAAAAATAGTATATTAGAACTTAAATATATTTATGGTCTTTTAAAAATATATGTTGCTTTGATTTTATTTCTTAGAAAAAGTTCATTTTAAAGTTTTTCTTAATTATTATTTTTTCTGGTCTTATATATAAGAAAATTAGACATAAGATAAAAACTTTCGTCACCATTAGCAACTAACAACTATCTAACTTAAGTTAAGATTCTCATAGATCACCAAATTATTATTTTTTCATAATTATTATTTTTCTGGTCTTATATATAAGAAAATTAGACATAAGATAAAAACTTTTGTCACCATTAGCAACTAACAACTATCTAACTTAAGTTGGGATTGTCATAGATCACCAAATTGCACTCCATTACAAGTCAAACATATCAATTCGTATTTTTGACTATTTAGATTTTTCTATACATACGATTATGTAAATAATGGTCTTGGAAGATATGGCTTTACCTTAAAAAGGGATCATCTTTAATTATTGTTTATGAGTTATTGCAAAATTTAGGCAAACTAGAAGTTGTTTTTATTAAAATTTAAATGCTACTTCACATTAAACTGAGGTTTGTCTTTAACTACTGTTTATGTTATTCCAAAATAATTATTGTCCAAAAATAAGTAGAGAAAGATGTAACAAAGAAAGATAGAGAGAAAGAGTGATAAAAAAAAAAAAGTGTTATGGATTATATAAATAATATAGTAATTCTTAATAAATTGTTGGAATCAGTTGCAACATTGCAATGAATTAGGATCCTCTCAAACAAAGTTTTCCTCCGGCCAAAGTCCTGCAAGATCCAAGTCCTTTGTTGAATTTTGTACAAAAATAAGATAGGAGAGAAAATGTAATCAATGGTTCTGATCTTACAATGCATGATAACTGAATAACTAATTAAGATGATTATATAATTTGCTGAGTTTAAGTATACTTCACGCATATCGAAGTGATCACAACAAACCCAATACAACAAGGAATTCCAATTCAAAATACCTATCTATCTATAACATCATTTAGGTGGAGCCAGCTAAGAACCAATGCATCAAAATTGTGTATGATAAGAAAGACAACCATTATCATCATCAGAATCACGAGTTTTTCTCATATTTAGTAGGATCGTATATATCACATTAAACAAGGAGAGTGAGACATTATGAATCAAGTATAATCACGTTGTACATTGATTGTGATGAATCATCAAGATTTTGCAAATCATAACCAAATGGATGATGATTCAAAAAAGGAGGCGTTGATTTTGAACATAGTGATCATGGTGGGATCCATGATTATGATTGCAATGGTGACCATGGATTTTGTTTCTAATTCTCACATAGATGGCCCCAAACAAGATGCAAACAAATGTGAAGTCTCTTCTATATGTTTGCCAAAAACCAGAGGAACCAGAAACTTGTATCCGTGTGTTGAAAAACGTAGGTGAGAGGGACACAATTTTGGATTACGAGAAAGGAGTTATCAATGCAACCCTCACAGAGTTGTTGGTGGTGTTTAGGCCTAAGCCTCGTCTTCAAAGAAGCCTCACGCCACTGCAACATCAGTCATATATAGATTGTTTGGAACTCTTAATTTTCAGAAAAGAAGAACTAGAATCTTTGTATATGAATAGTGAAAATGCAAATGCTAATGTTGAGTTGAACAGGCTAAGCCTGGATGATGTAATCAACAACCTAAGTGCGGTCATTTCGTACCAACACACTTGTTCTGATGAATTAATGTGAATAAATAGCTATGAAGTTTTGGGCTATTCATTGGAAGTTCCAATTCTTATTGCAAGGATAGCCTTAGCCATTGTTAATAATTTCTATGAGAGGCCTCCTAACATTAAGGCTCAACGACTAGATGGATTTCCAAGATGGTTCCCTACAACAAAGTGCCAAATGATAGAAGCTAAAGGAGGCAGTGGTCAACAATGGCCAAAAGATGTAATTGTGGTCGGTGACGGATCCAGAAAATTTAAATAGTGGAGGTAATATTTAAAGATATAAATTTGTTAAAATAAAATAAAATTTCTATAAAGATAAATACATATCATAATTGTTCTTTACGAGTTTTCATAGTTTGAAAAGCTTGAATGATTTGCTCATTTTCAATATTATCAAAATCCTCTCTTTCTCTATATAAGTAACTAAACAATCATTTAACCATTCATCTCCTATACGATTTCACATCCAATTCTTGATGATATTCATAGCATAAAAAACACTTTCAACTGATGTAGTTGCCACTGGCAGTATCAAGGCTAGCTTTAAAAGCAAATACACCAATGGATATACAACATGTTTTCATGTCTCCACAAACTTCATAGAAAGATCATGACTTCTAATTTTAAAAAAGCACTGTCAAAACATACATCTATGAAATAATTTTCAAGTTGGTTATCTAATGCCAAAAGTTCAACTGGAGAAAATTTAGAAGAATAAAATTGAGCAAAACGAATCAACTTCTCCCTGTCAAATGCAGAAAATGAATCTATTGGATTTAAACATCTTACACAAAGAAGCAACTCAATATTTGCTTATGTGAAACAGTTGTTTAACTCTTGAAGTTGTTGATCAATCACTTGAAAAAATAATTCAACTTGAAAATATAACTTTAATTAATGTAATGTTCATAACATACACTGATTTTTCTAAACATAAAAATAGAATGAGTAAATAAAAATTAAAATACTAAATTTCTCATTGAAAATAAAAAATAATTCAAATAAAGTAATATAAAAATAATAACTTTAAATACACTAACCTCAAAGATCACTTTATTAAATGTATAGTTTAGTTATTAAAACATGAAGGAGTAGAGATGGAAGAAGAAGTTTGTTTTTTTTTCCTTCCCAGTTTCACTCTTCTACACTTTAAAATATGTTAGAGGTAGAGGGAAATCTCAAAATATGAATAGAATTGGAAAAAGTAAAAATAAAAAAGAAAAAAGATATAAAATATCCAAAAAGAGGTTAATAACAACTTATGATTTTTTTTACTTAAAATGCATATATTATTAATTTATAATTTTTTTTATATATATATATATATATATATATTAAAAGGAAAAAACTGAAAAATTAGTGGGGACAACTGCCCCCACAATCATATACGTGGATCCGTCATTGGTTGTGGCCCAGGATGGAAGTGGCCAGTTTTCAACCATAGCTGACTCGTTTGATGCATGCCAAAAGAATAACAAGGGTGTATGTTTTATTTACGTGAAAAAGGTAAAGATGATGAGAGAGTGGTGATTCCTAAGGATGTAAACAAAGTGTTCATGTATGGTGATGGGAGTGAGAATACCATTGTCCCATGTATCAACACAAGAGACCCCAAAATAGTCACAAGCACCTTTCAGGCAGCCACGTTTGGTAAGCTCCTCTACATTAACAATATTCCTCAAATGACCAATTTTTAATGACTACATTACTTACAACCACAACCAATCAAGAGTTTGGATTACACCAAGATTTTATAGAATTAAGTTAGATTCAAACTCAAATTTTTAACATGGTATTAGAACTTATTTTAATAATTATTGTTAGATTTATTGTATTTTTTAGACGGTCTAATCCTATAATCTTCATGTTCAAAAATTTAAAATATTCAATCCTTGATTATGAAGGATGTGTTGTGTTGAAGATCTATATCAACTAGTAATATTGTCAAAATAAAGTATATAAATAAAAGTAAACTTTTATTTACAGAATTGACCTATAGAAGAATTGTTCATATTTATATATTTTATTTTAACCATATCACTAATCAAGATAATAACAAGTACATATTAAAGTACGTGGTAGAGCTGTTTTATTTGAATGTGACAATTTGTTTTAATTTATGGCTCTTGTAAAATGCAGTGGCAATGGGAAAAGGATTCATTTGCAAAGACATGGGTTTCATTGCCCCAGTTGACATTACAGGAGCACCAGCCCTCCTTGTTCTTTTTGATCATGCAACATTCTTCAACTGTAGAATTAATGGTGATGAAAATAGTTTATATGCAGTAACCCAACGCCAATTCTACCGAGACTGTGAGATTCTTGGTAGTGTGGACATCATTAAGGGAGACTCTACAACCGTAACTCAGAACTCACAAATCATTGTGAAGGCTTGAAATTCCTCTGATTTGGTTTTTAGGAGAAATGTGGTGAGTGCTCAAACCAGGTATCAGACAACTGGGTTGGTGATCCAAAACTGCACCATCACAACACAAGAAAGTAAGAATACTCTCAATGCTACCACTTACTTGGGCTCCCCATATGGTGAATACTCAAGGTCAAGGACTATCATAATGGAATCATTACTAGATGTGATACACCCAAAAGGTTGGTGTAAATGGAGTGACAACTATGGCATTGAAACAACAACACATGCACGGAGATAGAGGGACAGAGGGAGGGGATTGTAATAGGACCTAACTGAGTTAAACCTCTTTGATATTGTTCACTTTGGTTAAGAAGAAAAAGGAAAAGAATAGAAAATGAGATGTGATTTTGAATTGTTTGGTTGTGTAATAATAGAAATGAAAGAGAAAAAAGTTTAAATAAAATGGTATAAATATCAAAAAAAAATTAAAAGGGTAATATTTCTTTCCTTCATTATAGATGCCCTTTGAAACACTTTACACTCCAATTTTTTTACAATTCAATCATTCTTTATTGGGAGTAAAAGAGAAGATATTTCAATCAAGGGAGAAATTGGAGAAATCCCATACGACGTACTATATTAATCAAGTTGAAGAACTATATATCTATCGAGATGCTGCTTCTTTCATGAGACTTTAAAATTAAAAGGGTACCTTTAAAACACTAATGAGCATAAAATGAAGAAATATATAAAGTTATATATCTCACTTTAGTTTGAAAACTTAAGAATTAGTGTATCATGTTAAAACTGATTTACTTTTATTCTTTTATAAAGAAAAAAGAAGGTTGAATTTTTCTTTCCTTCTTTTATTTTTATGATATAATAAATGATATCTTAACACTCTTTTTGACACAAGGAGATAAATTGAATAAATGAAAATAAGAAAAGGTGTTTGATTTAAAATATATATATATATAAGAGAAAAATATAAATGAATTTTTTAACGATATATTGTTTTAAATTTGATTAATTATTTTTTTTGGTAATATAAACACCATGACAAAACAAAAATAATTGACTGTTTTCAGTGAGACGTTGGAACTATTGAAATCTCAGCTTGCACCGTCTTCCCCTCCCTCCTCTCCTTCCCCCTTCCATGGTAACAAACAGACCCTAAGAACTACATCCAATCAAATTATTATGCCCTTTTGTTTTTGTTAACCAAAGGCACTGACAAGACTGAAGATATAATAATTTTTTATTTAAATTAAAATAACATTTTCAGTGATATCTTAAAACTTTATTTTGTATTTCAACCTTTTTATAATTAAAATCAATTTTGCAATTGTAAAAATTAACTTACAGTATATCTAAATAATTCATTTTGTATTACAATAATATCTTGGAAATTAATGATAAAAAATTTAGTTGTTCTGCATCTCGCAAAAAAAAAAAAAAAGAATTATATCAATAACATTTTATGTCACTTAAATAATCTTTTCAATTTTAGTATTATTTAGTTTTTTAGTATTAAATTAAAAATCCTATTGCAGAATATTTATTATAGACGTATAATTATATTTAGGGAAGTTTTTAGAAAACAAATAATATTACGTCAATAATAATATTGTGTCCCTTACTAAAGTATCCAAAGAAAAAAGAAACAAAATTTTGTAAAATAATAAATTATTTAATACAAAGAAATTAAGTTATAATTAAAATATATGATATTAAAAATATAAATTATCATTTATTCGGCTTTATAATATTATATATTACTTATTTTAACAGTAATAAATATGTATGAAACAAATTGGGTTCATAGTTCAGTGGACAATGGTAGGGCATTCCGCATTTGACTGCAGATCAAGAGGTCACCAGTTCGAACCAGTTGGGCCATTTTAAAATGCATAATAGAAATGTACCATATATGTTGACTTTGTTTTCCACGCATATAAGTTATATGGTACCGGGTTACTCATGTTTAGCCAGGACCAGACGAGCTCATTAAATTGAATGTTTCAAATTAATTCTTTGTCAGCAATGATGTATAATTATGCCAAATTATGAGTATTGGAGAATCCAATAAAATTACATAAGCACAAAAGTTTAACCTTTGATACGGGACAGAAAAATTGTTTTCATTACTTTTGGTGCAAATATTCTAACATAATATTATGATATTGTAATTATTGATAAAAATAAATCAAGGTACCATTTGGTTAAATCCAAAAGCCCTTGACTTACAAAATCATTCGTATATAACGTCCCATGTTTTTCTGCACGTCATGAGAGCCCTGAAAATCATTATCATCTATAGTTGCAACCTTTGAACCCGTTCCTTTTAAACCATGAAATACAAGAAATAACCCCTACCTTACTACCTACAGATGCCACACTACCGTGAATAAAATAACTAGAACACCCCGGGAACACCATGAACCAACATCTGTGAAGCTCAGTCCAGGTTGAAGCCAATAATATCCCTATCAGCCAAACAGAATCCACCCTTATAGCTCATCGAAACTTAAACAACCACGTTCCCCACATACAACTTGCAACATAAAACAGAACCCATAGAAACAGAGCACAGTATGATCACCAAACCAAACTCCTCTTTAACATAAAACCACTAACATTTGGGTGCCGGTTAGATTCATGGCATAAAAGGTGGTTTTGAAGACTAATAACAGGGATTTTTATTGGAACAGTAACAAGGAGTGTTTGGCATCTGTAAAGAGATTTTGGCATGGGAACCTAACACGCAAATGGAGCATGGAGTTTTATGGTTATACAACTCTGGTACACCGACACGACATGCAAGTGGGTAACAGGAATGCTTGAAAAATGAAAATCGGTTTATACTCTGAAAAATGAAAATGGGTAAATGATGTTCGAAGGGCAGAAATGACTGATAAAAAAATTGACCAACTAAACTTTTTAACTAAACATATCCCAAAGCTGTTTGAAAATGAAGGTTGAACTTCAACTGGCACAATGAAGGTTAAAAGCATTAAACCATCAGAGAATCATGATTATATTTACAAGTATATCTCCATAGATCTCAACATAGAATTTACTCCTAAAGAAATTTACTCAGCAACGCTAATATGAGCAATTTCTGTAGTTTCTCAGCAAAACCTGCAGTTTGTGGTACCAAAACATCACAACTAGCCAAGCTTGCAAGCAATCATAGAAACATTGTTTTTATTCATCAGAAAGACAACAGTGACACCTCTCAGCTGCAAATAAAAAGAATATCACTCTAATAAGAGTAATAACAAATATAACATAACTAGAAGATTTTTTTTTAGGGGGGGGGGTGTAAATAACTAGAAGATTAAGATTTTAAGAATTTAAGAACAAAACAATTAAAATTTAAAACAATTGGTGTTGTTTGGTTAAACATAAAAGATCTTATGGACTCTTAACAGTTTCAAAAGAATGTTCTACCTCTATACTTGGGTAATGTACCAAAACCTCAAATATATATTTCACTAGTGGCACCAACCACGAGAGTTTCTTGCATTTTCCCGAGGTTAGAAGCATGAAATCATATAGCGGCAACTTTTTTCAGTAATGCCTCATGATTTATGAAGGAAATACTAATTTACCCTCTGTTGAATCTTGTTCCAAGAAGAAGCCTTTTAGAGAAGTATTGGATTCAATGGACAACTACAGAACAAAAGATCTCTATGGTAAAAGTTACAGTTTGCAAAGAAAAAAATGGCAAGCATAACCAGCAAAGAAAATAATAACGAATGTACATGATCACTATAAACATCTATGTCAGTACTAAACAACACTAAAAGAATGTAATGAATAATGAGGACAATTCATCAAATTCATATTAAATATTAGATAAAAGATTTAGGTCAAATTAGAAAATATGATAAAGAAAAATTTGAAGATATTCAAATTTAATAATAGATGCACAAAAGTTTTAATAAAATGGAACGGCAATTTCCCTTTGAAGCCTTGCAAATTTCCAAACTCCAACGAATTATGAAAAATGATGTGAATCTATGCCGTTTACTTGTTCTTAATTATACCATCGCTGTTCCTCTTCTAACAAATAAACTACAAAAGAAAAACCTAATTGATGTTGCAATATTGCACAAGTAAAACTTTTAGACAAGTCAAATAACATGGGCAGTGTATGCAAATACTCCGTGTCTGGCTATAAAAAAAAATGATGAAATAAAAACGTGCAGTTAACTTCAGAATAGAAGGATATTGAGCAAATTAGTTAAGGGTTAAAACGGAAAGGTCTGGAAGAATATGTACACCAAAACAAGGTATGGCCTTTAATAATTGTTATAGATGACTTTTGTCAATGGAATTGGCACCACAATCACCAGCACCACTACATTCATATATCCAATTCCAATGCAAACTTGATTTGCAAACATTTATTATTAAAAATGAGGCAGTAGTACAATTGAAAGGAGGTGGGAGCAAACCTTTTCAATCCGAAAGCTCACCACAAGTGAACCCATTTTGCACAAGCTGGTTAACCGCATCCCTGAACTTGTAATAGTCATCGACCTTATTATACACTTGATAAGAAATCCTTGCGTATCCAGTCACCACCCCAACCTCCCCCTCTTGCGGCGGTCGGTAGTAAATGGGAACCTCAACCCCAAAAGCATCCCTCAAATGCGTCCTCAACTTGAGAGCATCCGAATCACTTTCAATTCCCAAAGAAGCTGGCATTCCAACCATAACCATGCTACAACACATATGAGGGGGGCAGCCAAGGTGAGTCCCCCACGCCTTTGCAAGCATCTCCCCCATCTCAACAACACCCTCATGATTCCTCTTCTTGATCCCCTCAATGCCTCCTTCAAAGCGGTTAACGAACTCCACCGCCTCCGGAACCACCAACTGAGCACTGTAATCCCTAGTCCCAATCCAAGCACTCTCCACAGCAAGGCCATTGCCGTACTCATGAGACACAACAGGGTGATGCAAATCAAAAGCAGAACCCTTAGGGTTTCTACGAGCGTACAAAAAGGCAATGGAAGGTGGACAAAAGAACCACTTATGCAAATTACTAGTGTAGAAATCAGCACCGATTTCCTGCATGTCAACGTCAGTACATCCAATGGAATGCGCAGCGTCGACGAAAACCTGGTCAACACCCTCCTCCCTGCAAATCTGAATCAACTCCTTAACGGGAATGACGACACAGGGCATGGAAGTGACGTGATCGATAACCGCTAACCTAACCCTCTTACCGTTGCTCTTACCTCTCTCCAACGCCTTCCTGAACTCGGAAATGATCTCTTCGTTGGAGTTAACGGGGAACGGGAGGGGAACCTCCACGACGTAACCGCCGGCGCGCGCGACGTAAGCCTCCATGGATTTCTTAACGGCGCCGTAGGCGTAGTGGAGCATGAGGACGGCGTCGCCCTGGCGGAAGCGGCCTTCGCGGAAGCTCCAGGCGGCGTGCTGGAGGACGATGGAGGCGGCGGTGGTGGCGTTGTCGACGATGGAGATCTCGTCGAGGTGGTGGGCGTTGACGAGGCGCTGGATTAGGGTTCGGGAGCGGAGGATGGCGGGGCTGAGTTGGTTGAAGTAGAAGTGGTCAGGGTGGCGGAGGAAGGCGAGCTGGGAGCGGCGCTGGGCGGCGAGGATGGAGGCGGGGCAGGAGCCGAAGCTGCCGTTGTTGATGCGGGCGACGGAGGCGTCGTGGTGGGCGAATTCTGCTTGTATTTGGGATGGTGTTATGAGTGTGATCTTTGGCTTCTTGGTCTTGGGTATGTGGGAACCATTGCTGTTTTCGTCCATTGGAGTGTGAATTCAATCGTAACCTCATTTACCTCTCTCCGTTCATTATAATAGATTTGGCTATTGGCTATGCCTATTTATCATTTATCACTTATCACTTCTACTTCTACATCTACTCTCTCATTTATTACCTCAATGGATGTAATGTAAGAAACTACACTCTCACATTTTTACTCTCCCTGTTCTTCTTCTTATCCAATCGAAGTGTTTGATGTTGTGAATGGTGTATGCATTAAACATGTTAGTTGGCTTAGGATTAAAGGAGCAAATGTTGTTTGGAAAGTTGAAAATTCCATATAGGTATTGGTGTTGTGTATTGTTTTTGATTTGATGGTTTGCATATTGGTGAGTAGTATAGATGTTTCATTCCTATACTTGTATGCTTTTGAAATATAACTTGCCCTTTCATGTTTTTTATGTAAATAGATTGCGATAATCATACTTTGTATGAGAACATAACAAGGATAAGTCGACAGGGGCAGACAATAGAGACCATTAAGAGGATGGTGGTGCTTTTGGATCTTTCAAGATATCCCATTTGATAATTGTATATAGTTATTCTTAACTGACAGTTAGGATTTTATACCATTTTTATATTAGATGACCGTACATGTACTATATATATTTGTAAAGTGGTTTTAGTTGTTTATATTTATATAGATGTTAGGGTGTGCATATCCAATTTATTTTGATTATAATTTTTTTATATATAAGTTAACTCCGTTGCTAGTAATTGTAATTCATAAGTGTGTTATCTATGATGGATAATTCCAGTAACAACACACAAACCTAAACAAAATAAAGTTAGTTATAAAAAATAAACTTTTTCATACTTATGACCCAACTATATATTAAAAAAATGAATTAATGGAATAAATCCATATATAAACATCAAATTGATCGTAAAAATCATTTTAAATTTGTTATGCAAAAACGAAAATTCAGGTAAAGATAAACAAATCATTTATATATATATATATATATATATATATATATAAAGAGATCTTTTTACTCAAGGAG